GGAATTTAACAAGAACAAATCCTTAATTGTTTTGCAGAGACTCCAACCAAAAGGAATAACGGAAGAGGTAGACGAAACAAACACGAATCCGATTCACCGTTTGTTAAACAAGTTCATAACCTTAGGTAAATTTATTTGAATAGTGTTTTATTATCGGATTTTGGGATTTTTCTTCTAATTCAAGCATTATTTATAGGGTTTTTACTGCTACATGGAACGTCGCCGGAAAATCTCCTCCGACTTACCTAAATCTCGACGATTGGCTCCACACGTCACCTCCTTCCGACATTTACGTTCTTGGGTAACAGCTCATTTCTATTCGATTTTGACTCAATTCGTTCCCGATTCCCAATCTCTGATTCGATTTTACAGCTTTCAAGAGATCGTTCCTTTGAACGCCGGTAACGTTTTGGGTACAGAAGACAACGGACCTGCAAGGAAATGGGTGTCTCTCATCAGAAGAACCTTAAACAGTCTCCCGGAGAACACCGGCGGAAGCTGCCGGACTCCTTCGCCGGTTCCTCACCCGGTCGCCGAGCTCGACTCAGACTTCGAAGGCGACTCAGCGGCGGGGGCAAACTCGTCATTTTACAATCGGAGGTCGTTTCAGTCACTTAGCAGGAGCCTGAGGATGAATGACGAATACATGACAGCATCCGTGGAGCCCCAGCTTGACCGGAGATTCAGCGTCTGTGACCGTTTCATGTTGGGTCATAGACCTGATGATTTCTACGACCAGAGCTTCAGGTATTGCTCCTCTGACGACGAGAATGTGCAGGAGGCTGATTCTTCTCCTTCGTGTGATCAGTATTATTCTCCTGTCTCGAGGAGTGGATCGTTTGTGACAGACGAGAGAGATAAGGGAAGAGACAAGTCTAAGTATTGTCTGGTTGCGAGTAAACAGATGGTTGGGATATTCTTAACTGTTTGGGTGAAGAGTGATCTAAGAGACAGTGTCAAGAACCTCAAAGTGTCTTGTGTAGGGAGAGGCTTGATGGGTTATCTTGGGAACAAGGTAAAATCCAAATGGAGTTCGAAAATTTTACGTTTCTGAATGTTTTTGGGGGAACAATTGTTCAAAGTTTGGATTTTTTAATCTGCAGGGCTCGATTTCAATCAGCATGTCGGTTCACCAGACGAGCTTCTGCTTTGTCTGCAGCCACTTGACGTCTGGTCAGAAAGAAGGGGACGAGCTAAGAAGAAACTCTGACGTTTTGGAGATTTTAAGGAAAACCAGATTCCCTAGAGTGAACAACGCAGGCGACGAGAAGTCTCCACAGACGATTTTAGAACACGAGTGAGTTATATATGTTGCATGAATGTACTTACATTTCTTGGATCTTGATCATTGCAATCAGCTCAGCGAAATCTTCTTTATTATGTTTTTCAGTCGAGTAATCTGGCTTGGAGACTTGAACTACCGTATAGCTCTTTCTTACCGGTCTGCAAAGGCACTTGTCGAAATGAGAAATTGGAGTGCCTTGCTTGAGAAAGACCAGGTAAATTATACTTTTATCCCCAAAAACTCTATTTGAAAGACCAGAACCCTTATCTGAATGTCACGTTGTTCTGTTATAGCTACGGATAGAACAACGAAAAGGCCGTGTCTTTGAAGGATGGAATGAAGGGACTATCTATTTCCCACCCACTTACAAATACTCTAACAATTCAGATATATATGCTGGTGATGATCGGCTTCCCAAGGCCAAGAGACGGACTCCAGCATGGTTAGTCCTTATTTCTTTAGTCCTCATTGAATCTAATTAGCTTGATGACATATCATATGTACTGAGTTTGAGTTTCTGAATTGAAGGTGTGATCGCATACTCTGGTATGGGAGTGGTCTTAGTCAGCTATCGTATGTTCGCGGGGAATCAAGATTCTCTGATCACAGACCAGTCTACAGTTTGTTCTCGGTAGAGATTGAATCGGTACATAGAAACCGTATCAAGAAAAGCTCCAGTTACTCCAGCTCTAGGATCGAAGTTGAGGAACTTCTTCCTCAGCGTTATGGATATTCTGAGCTTAACACATACTGATTCATCATCGGTCCTGAATCCGTTTGAAGACAGATCCCGAGGGCTGATTGAAAGTTTCCAAAGCCTGAAAAGAAAAAGGGTAAAGAACTAACTCTCTGCTGATCAAATGATATATTACTTTGTTGTTGCTCTTGTTTTCTGATATCATCTGGTCTTGTGGGACTTTTCAGGGATTAGGGGATGATTCATGAAAAGGTCAGATCTTGGTCAAGAACTCTGTGCATTTCCCTGCTTTACGGTGAGAACAGGGGAAGATTCGAGTGAAAAGAGTAATAATAATGTAGCTTTAACTGATCATATATATCTTTAGGATTATAGAGAACTGACCAGTTTTTTCATCTTTTGTAACCATTAGCTTCTCCATAGAGTGTAGGGGACTCAGCAAACTTGTGTGTAGATATATGTAATGGATTCTTTTGAATAACCAGTGGGTTTAGATTTGAAGGTGCAAAGTTTCAAGCTTTTTATTTTGAGTTACTTACTTACTTGTCCTGTGATTTACTCCCATTAAACCTACAGTATCGAACATATTCAAACTCCTAGTAGAAACAATTTAAATACAAATATATGTAAATTCGATTATTTGAGTTTGGAAGTAAAAGTGAGAATTCAAAAAGAGAGTCAAACTCGTAGAATCATATTCTTCTTTTGTACTTTCGATTCAACGCATTTGTTTTCTTTCTATAATTTGGCTTTTTCTTTCCCTAAAACACACTTCCTCAATATTGGGCTTTCCCTTAAGTTTGAAGGATTAACTATTGGAAAATTTTATTTCTTGTTAATTAATATATATAATATATGTATGTATCAATAACAAGAAAATGTTCATTACTACTTAAGAAATTTTTTTTATCCAGCTTTGCTAAAAAATTAACTTCAAAGAAAATAATGAGTTATAAACATCAGATTCTAAGATAAAAGTGGGAAAAAGAAAAAATTAAAGATCCAATAATTTTGCATGAAAATGACAAGAATGACCTCGTTTCTCTATATTTCCGTGCATTCCATGTCCTTTTAAAAAATCACACGCGCTTGGTGAAAGAGCGTGAAGAAAACGTGCGCATATGATTGGAGTATGTGACAGTGGTCGAAAACAAAAGAGGAGAGGATCAGATAAAGAGTGTCTTTTGGATTGCCTTTTAACCCTACATTCTTCTCCACGTGTCACCCACGTGAGAAGCCTTTATTTTACGAAAACTTCCTCAGTGATTGTCTCTCATCTTTCTTTTTGAGTTTTTTCACAAACCACATAAAAGAATTGTTTTGAAAATGTATTCTCTAAAATAAATGATACGGACGGCGACGACTCGTACGTAGATTTTAAAAAACAAATTCGAAAAATATGTAATACGCAAAGATAGAAAGAGCCAAGAGGGACCATTTAATCAATAAACGAGAACATGATTGTGGTAGTATTTTGGTCGATATTTAATCAAGAGCAAAGATACATATCCGACGGTAGATATTTTGGTCGGAGGAACGGCGGAGATTAGAGTTATTAGGATGCATATGCTCTCACTTTCACTGCCCATCCTCTCCTTCTCTTATTTATTTCCTTTTGTCTTATTAACATGTTCTTTTTCTATGTATTTTTGTTACATTAGTGGAATACAGAACTACGTCACGTACGAATATTATAATGAGTAATGTATTCCTATGGTTTGTGATGGATCTACTAAATAGATAAAGAAGCTTCGCAAATTGATGGGTATGATGAGAAGATCCTATATCTAGATCACGATCACATGCTATGTCGTAACATTACTCGACCCTTTCTGCTAACACCAAATCATTCAGTTTTTTCCACTTGGTTCCTTTCGCTTTCACTTTCTCAAAACGCCATTTATATAACTCGATCGGTTTTACTTTACTCTATTTAATTAAACATCCATTCGATTACGAGTCGCAGCAACTATATGGATTTTCGAATATATTAATTAACACACTGAATATATACGACAACTACGTCTATTTACAGAAAGATATATATATAGTGACACATTAACTAATACACCGAATTTAATTTTTTTTTTTA